CTTCCCTGCTGACCTTCTGACGCGCACAGCCTCCCAACTCAACTTCTGTTGAAATGCAAGCGGCTCATTGGCATTTCTGGATCATTTTGCAACACTTTGCAATCGTCTGCAACTCTTCCCGCCGTTGAATGTAACACGCCCCGAGTCAAGACCCGAGTGGAAGCTCCCTACCTTCCCTGCAGCTATTTAAAAACACTTGACTTATCCCTTCCCATAAGTGTAGCCCGGCGCTTCCCCAAAGCGAGCGGTCGCCTGCTGAGCAGGAGTTGCTTGTCTTCGCTTTTCCCTCCCCATCTTAATTTTAATTTTGCTGTATGGGCCCGGCAGGGATTGTGCTCCACTTTCTCCAAGCCCGTTCCTCTCCTGATTCTCATTCACTTTTATGATCTCTGCGCAGGACTCGCAGCCCCGCCCATAATTACCCCACGTACGTATAGACAGATATACTGTGATGACTGCCAATACCGAAGGACTATAAAAGAGATGCACATGAAAATTATGTGTGGCTCTATGTTACATCCCTGCATGAAAATCTCTTTTTTTTTTTTTTAATCTGAGCAAGATGGTTGATGGGAAAGCAAACATTTTTCAAAGTACTTCGGGATGGCCGCTCCAACCAAAACACACAAACGTGCAGTTAAAAGTGCCGCTAAATTAGGACACGGTCAACATATTTGGGGAATATATAGCAGTTTCCCACAAATTCATCCCTCTGCTTCCTAAATACACTCTCTCGGGTGCATGTTGTGTAAGCCTCCTAAAACCATCCAAGTGACTATTTTTATCAGCATCGTCATCTATCTGACCAGTCTCGCACACGTGCACGCACACACTGTCTGTTTGACGCTTGAACGTCAAGGTCACTGGTAGTGAGTCAGTGCAAGCTCAGTCAGACACACCCCAAAGAGTCAAGATCCTTTGTATGTTTTACCGTGGCGTCTCTCCAAGCGCCGAACCAAAGCACTGACTGGCTTTTGTTAATTGAAACGAAACGCTCATTTGCATACAAAGCGTATAAACTCAATCCTTTAATGTGCCGCTGACTTGGTCTTACGCTCCGAGACACTTTTTTTTTATTTTTTTTTTTTTTGTGTTTGTTTTGCCGTGTCTTGTTTGTGTTCCTTCCTGTTAGCCCCTTAGCAGATCATAAAAGTTTCATCTTATCTTAGAAGGACGAAGGTCTTGGATAAACTCTTGCGTTTTAATAATTCATATCCCCATGGAAACAATTCGCTCCAGTGGTGGGAATCATCTGCGTTACTGTGTAATTTGTGTTTTACGTGCTCGGCCAAGGAGGCCAATATTCACGTTGCTTGGAGAGGAAATTCCGAATGAAGCTCAGCGAACCCAATATTTTCTTTTTTTTTAAAAGAATGTTTATCCAAAGGAAACGAAACGAGCGTAGCCCCCGTGAATGACCAAGTCATGACTGCGATGAAGAGCACCGGAACAGGACACTAAATGAAGATTGCGTGCAATCTGATCTCCCTACGGAGGAGAGTCACGATTCCCCTTAATCAAGTCAAAAGGCATTTGAAATCATTCTGAGAAGTCCCTGCATGCTTACAGGGAAGGATTAGATTCACTATGCCTTTACTTAATCTTATCGGTTCAAGAACTAATCCATAGTATGGAGTCAAAAATCAATCTGCAGAAAATTATTGACACAGCCTTTTGTCTCCAAAGTTGCCCAAGCAAAGAAAGTTCACATGTCGGCAATAATGGTTCATTGACATATTTACACGCAGACCTAAATGAAGTCATTCGCTCCGGCGTGAAACTGCTTCTCAACCTTCCGTGTCTATGCGGCTAAGATGCGCGCAACCTCAATTTCCTGTCAGCGGTTCTCAACACATGCTGTCAGGACATGCGCGGCTCGCATGCACACAGCCCACTTAGTCACTGCAGTGAAACGGCTCCCGATTCCTTCGTTGGCTTCCTCGGGGGAGGCAATTTAGATTGCTGCAAAATGAAAAGTATGCAGTAAAACAGCAAAACAGGCGACACAGAAGAGCAATAAACTCTGCGGTGGAGGTGTCATGTTTGTTGTCTTAACGTCAATGGGTCATTTTCACTCTGCATGCAAAATGTTGGATTTTTAGCTACTGCTTGTGCCCACTAGTGGTGAAAAAAATACCGCGGCTTTCCAGTGAAGAAAATATCGACACATGGATCACAAAAATGCCGTGCTAAAACGGGGTCTTATTTGGTGCTTTTCTCCTCAGTACCCAGGTGGAAGGCGACGTCAAAGAGGAGATACTGCAGCCCCCCGAGCCTCACCCCGTGCCCCCCATACTGACCCCGTCGCCCCCCTCGGCTTTCCCCACCGTCACCAACGTCCGCCAGGACAATGACCGCTACCACCCCAAGCCTGTTATCCACGTCCTGGCCACCGCGCAGCAGAACGTCACTCGGGTGAATGACCCCATACAGAACCTGTTTATTTTTTTTTTCCTTGTTGGGGTCGCCTGCAACTGTTTTTTTTTCCCTTTTTTGTGTGTGTTTTTGGGGGCAATTTTGAAGCTGGGCTTGGTGCATGAGAATCTCCCGCAACTCAACTTTGTTTATGGAGCGCTTTCAAAGCAACCGCAGTTGTAGCAGCGCGTTGTCAATGAAACAAACATAAAACACGCCGTTTCAATGTAAATAGCAAACAACTTGTCTAAAACTGTTAGTTGATCCGTTGTCTCTTAAAATCAGCGTTTGTTTTCTTGGAACTGGTGCGTTTTTTTTTTTTCTTTTTCTTGCATTTGATTTTCAAAAACAAGGCCCAGCACCAAAATGTCCCAAGAGCCAGTGCGGCTCCGCAGCCAAGTGTGCATTTCTTATTTCACGTCATTTACATGTCATGACTTTGCGTGTTTCTTTCCAGAATGACGGCACAGAGAAGGAGAAGAACCTGTCAGAGGCAAGTCCCAAAACACAGACCAGTCCATCAGAACCCAAAGACCAAAACGTGCTCTGTCAAAAGCAGCAGATGTCCAACCTTGATCTCAATGAAAACTACAACAACAAACTATCTGCGGCAACAGCAAAGTCTGAATCGGGCCAAAGCTTGACTCCGTCCTTGCCCATATCCCCCGCGGCCGACTGCTGCGCGGCACCACGCATCGAGAGGAAGCTCAGCATTGAGATTAAAAAGGTGCCTTTGCAGGAAGGACCCCGTAGCTTCGACACTTCCTCCGCCATGGGAGTGGCGGCCGGAGCAGGCGGCGGCTCGGCCAACAGCGGGAGCATGCTGCAGAGATGCCACGCCTTCAAGGTCCGCTCCGGGCAGTCCCAGCTCACGTCCAGCTCCTCGCTGTCCGAGGATTCCGGCACAGAGGGCGGATGCGGGGAGAGCCAGGCGGACGGCGGCGTCCTCGCCAGACCGAACCACCTCCCGGTGAAGAGTGACGGCGGGGACAGAGCGGAACTGAAGGCCAGCCACGCGGCCTGGGCTCAGCCCTGCGGCAGCCCCGAAAAACCTTTCCCCAAAACCACCTCGTCCGATCGCGTGGCCCCGTCCTCCTCCTCCTCTTCGCACCTCTCGTCCTCCTCCTCATCCACTCCGGTTCGGACTGCGCTGAGCTTCACCAACCCGCTGCACTCGGACAACTCGGACGATGAGGGCGACGGGGAGATGTCGGCAGGCGGGGAGGGTTGTCGCACCAGTGTTTCCACGGCGACGGTGACGGCCCTTCACTTTGGAGATCACCAGCTGCTGCGGAAGGTGTCCCCCATGTCCATTGCGGGGCAGAGCTCCTCGTCGCCCGCTGCAGTCACAGCAAGTACGCCGATCACCTTTAGGCCGATTCACCTTTTTGTCTGCTTTTCCAAACGTGCTCAATCAAACTATTCACCATCAAGGCCTTGTCACGCTGCACTTGGCGAGACGCAGCGGGCCCCAGTGGCGTCAGAAGGGACGTCCAATTGAAGAGCGCTGACAGAAGTAGAGGGAAAAGTCCACTGCCTGGTTGGCCGCTATGCAAGGCCTATATTCCAAATATAGGCAAGGTTGTGCCGGGGCACCCTCGTGGCGGCGAACACCAAAAAAACCCAAGTGCAGTGTGAAAAGACCTCAAGTGTTGTCTAAACCAGGAGCTCTCAAAACTTTGGCGTCCAGGGTCCCTTTACAGGGAAGACGCTTGTCCTAGAGCCCACTCATAATCCTGATGCCAATTAAACGTAACTAAGATGAACAACTGGTCTCAACGCATCAGTGACCGATTAAAAAAGTACTTTCCGCGAACTTGAAAATCATGCAACGCTTGATGAATTAACTTAACCAAAGTGGCTTTCACTTCCTCGTGCAATTTTTTGAGTCGAATTGTGGGTTCATCTCTGAAACTGCCCTCATAATCCGCACACGCTTTCTGGGTCACTGAGGATTAGGCGGAGAAAAAAAAGGAGTGTGTTTCCGGTAACCCGACCCACCGAAAATTTCTACGTCGAAAAAAAAACTTTACGGTCGGCATTTTTTTTCAAACAACCCTCTACGTTTTTGTGTAGAGGGTTTACATCGGTGCAAACTCTCGCGATATTCACGTTGAGCGCGTGCGTCGTTTGCCCTGTTGTCTGTCAACAACATTGAATCATGGCGGCGGCCGTGATCTCCAACGACAGTTTAAACCGCGTTTTCTGTGTTACAGTCGCATGCTCGCACCGTAATGTTAAGAAAATAGCATCCATTGATATATCGAAAAAATTCAGCGAACTATTTGATGAACACCACGGGCCGAGTAAAAACCGAGGGGGGAGGCGGCGGCGCGCCCCGGCCCCCTCAGTCCGGAGCGGGGAGAAAACTAAATCGGTGGCGGCGGTGCCGGCCGCAGAGCGGCGGGATGGCGTTGCGGGCGTCGCGGGGCTAGGGGACGGTGTCGGGCGCGGGGTCGGCGTCAGTGACCTCTCCCCGCCGGTGCCATCGCAACCCGGCCGACCTCGGAACCTAACACCCAGCCGCCGGGTACCCAACTCTCGGGGGGGTTCAATGTCTCCTTGTTTTATGTTTTATGGTTATTTTGTTTAAATTTTTGATTGGGAAAAAAAAAAAACTTTGTCCGACCAACCGACCCTATGCTGAAATTTCATGTTACCGGAAACACACTATTTTATGTTTGGCCTTAGGCCATCTCAGAGCGCATGATCATGAGTAACATGCGTTTGCACACAGACTCAAAAGAAAGTGCTTGTATTGAACAGTGCGGGTTTTTTTAGTAACAAGATGATGTTTGCCCCGATGTGCCAGAAGTGCGTCTTGTGTGTGCATGTTGACTGGTGAAGGATCAACAGTGCATGTGAAACACGTTTGTGCACACGGGATTGCAGTGGTGTGATGCGATTTTGAAGCCGCCGAGGTGTCACCACGGAGAATCACAGAGTGCGTTGGACGCTTGGGAATGCTTTTGACACGCATTGAGCTTTTGTTGCCAGAGAACTTTTTAAATACTGTACGCCGAAGTCCCTGAGGGTGCATGATGTCGATCACTCTTCGATTGTATGCACTGGGGGAGATTTTGCTTCAGTGACCGCAAAGATTTTAGACATCATCCTCTCCTCAAGTAGTTCTCATACTTAAAGCCATCAAATGCAGATTTATTTCCGTGGCATTTCCCAAAGTGGTCCCTGGAGTGTTGTTTGTTGTTGTTTTATTTTGTTTTTCTTTTTTGCTTGGCTTTTCTGGAGCGTTGTTTCCATCATGGTTCATGGCGGGTTGCTAAGGATGCGCTTTTTTTGAATGGGTGGCGCTTTGCTAATCTCTGCTTTGTGAAGCACCGGCTGGTGGCTGCTTGTTTTCTCCACTGATTGCCTCTCAATCCGCCAATCAGTCCGTACAGATTGACTTTATTATTTTTTTCTCGTTTTGTAACGTTGCTTCTTATTTGACCTCTGACCCTTTTAACCCAGACAGCTGGGACAGTGACGACTCCCCTCCCCCTCTCCCAGAGAGGACCCCCGAGTCCTTCATACTGGCCACAGGTGCGTTTGCCTCGGTGCTCAACTAAAGAGGCCTCCCGGATGATGGCAGGACCTTCTTATGCACATGAGCTTTGAGAAAAAGATCTGTCATTGATTTCATGATTTGATGGGGTTGAGGTCAGGGTTCAGTCAAGTTCCTCCACACCACATTCATCCAAGCTGTGAGCGCTCTGCCTTCCCCATCACGTTTTTTTGGTAGGATGGGGCTTTTATACAACAGAGGGCGCTCTTGACACTTGCGCGCAGGGAATGTTGTCCAGACAACGCCTTTTGAAACGCACGGGTCGGGCACTCCATAGCAGGCATTGAGTCAGTGTGAATGAATTTGTTCCCGCAAGATTACGACATTTCAATGTGAGGAAGAGCACAGTTCCGATTTGAGCTGATGAATACCTTTTCAACGGCCTGTTTTCTCTCCGACAGACCCTCTGGACGTCAGGACGCCCGCCTCGGCCGAGGGCCGCGGTTCACACAAAGGTGAGGGCGCCGATTTCTGTGTCATGCGCGCGGGAACTGAAAACGCACTTGCAATCTGCTTGTCCTGTCCTGTGCGCGTTACGTCACCGCCCATTTTTCGCCTCGGCTGCTCACTTTGTACACACGCCAGCCAGTAAGAGGATTAAAACGGTGTTGACTTCCAGTTAATAAGTCACACAAATGCTCTTCAGTCAACCATCAAACAGTGGAACATTTATTGCAAAATGTTGGACCGGTGGGCAGAAAACTCGGAATTCAGAGCAAATATTTGCGAATACGAAACAAGTTTGCGTTGTGTGTGTTTACTCTTGTGCAGATTTGTCTGAATGTGTCCAAAAGACCTCTCCAGCTGATAGTCCGTCTCCAGGCACCAGAGCGGCCAACAGCAAGGCAGACCTGAGTGGGTAAGTCGGAATGCTGTAGGATGGAATTTTCAAAGCGCAACGACAATGACGCGCTCTTGCGTCATTTCAGTCGTTTGGTAGGCTTTATTTTAAATGAGGGAGATTTTAGGGCAAGCACAAATGCCGGCCTTATTTGTAGGTATTGGGTACTCGTGGAGGCAGCCGATGCCCGCCCACCAGTACTTAAGGACTGCTCGGCAGCCTCCTCTGGTTAATTACCATTGTGCCCCTCTCTGTCTCCAGGGTTCGATAACGCCACATTCCAGGCCCGCGACAACGCCCCCTGGAGTGGACAAGACGAAGCGCTCTGTCCACAACAGTGTCCTCCCTCCCGAGATGGACCAAGACCTCACCCGGGTGGTCCCAAACCGAGTTTATCAGATGCCACCCTGCCGGCTGTGCGTTTTTACAAGTCGGAGCTCCTCTCTTAGAGCAGCATTGTCCTCATTAGCTTGCTGAAGGCGGATGTTTCAAGGTGCTGACGCGGGATCCGTTCTGCTTATTCCCCGGTTAGTTTGAAGCCTAATATCCTTGACGTGAGAGCAAATCAGGACCGCCAGCTTCTCTCTGAGCTGGAGCCATTTCCTCTTTGACCAAATGGAAGCCCGTCTATCAGATGTTCTCCTTGAAACGAACACTGACCAGAGGGTGCCCTGCTACTGAATGAGCAACAATCTTCAAAGCGAAGCCAGATAATCTTTTAGTTTCACGCGATCGCGCCGACCCCCGTCGCTCTCCCCCCACTTTGTGTGTGCTGGTGCCGCTGCATTACTGAGGATGAGCGCAGAAACAAAAAGACGGGAGCGGACTCTTGCGTCTCCCCTCATTCGTGGTTTTGCGTGGGAACATGTCAGCTGCAGTACTTAACGACTCGAGTTCTACCATGACCTCTGTTTTGAACCGCAGTCCCAGAGTGATGTGGTTTGGTCCTACATTGTTACCTTCCTGCTCAGAGATGATAGAAGTAGCCACGTTTTCACCACACGGTACAGTTCCAACAGCCTGCAATGTGTTGCGCTCCATCCTTTGTGCAACACGCCACATTGGAAGGTTGCCAAAAAGTGCTATGGTCTAGACCCGACCGATTATTTCCGGGGCCCAACTCCTCATAATAACATTCGAAATGAATACAGCCGTACAACCTGGTGGAAAGATGATTTTTGAGGGTGGTGTGTGTGTCTGATGCGATATCAAGGAAGTCTTTTTCAAAGGACAAAGTGAAACTGCTCTCTTGTATATGCCGATTGAACCTCGTGGCTCAATCGGCAAATCTGGTTGCAGTCAACCTCGTGTCTCGAGTCTGTTATTTCAAAGCGGTCAGTCAGGACCAAACAACTACGCTTGAAGACTCAGGTTCTCAGTGCTGGGACCATGAGCCGACCTTAGTCTGTCTCCCCGACAGGACAGTCAACCGCAGCCCTCCTCAGCTTTTCACTTTCGAAACATGCATTGAGATTCTTTTTGGCTCTTAACTGCTTGCCTCATTTTTTTTTTTTTTTTTTTTGCTGTTGCCGCTTGTTTTCGGTTCTTCCTTTTCCTTCTCCCCCTGGGGGAGGCCCAGCAGGTTAACCACCACGCGACGCGAGTCCACGTTTATGGGAGCAAGCTCTTGTCAAAAACAACAACCTGTCATGTTGCTTATGCGATACTTGCGTGGGTAGACGACTGACACCAGAACATCCAAAGGGTCTCAAATCTGACCCGGCAAGGACTGGCGTTGTTTTCTCTTGACTTCTATGACAGTATCTACATTCTTTGTTTTTATAAAGATCAAAAACTGTACAGGTCGGTTGAGCTCTGTTTTATTCCAGATTTTCTTTGTTTAAACAGAAGATGTAAGAAAATCCGTGCAACCCTACCCAAAGTGTAAATTATTTTTTTGCTGCCCCATTTATTTTTTGTTTTTGGATATTTCAGGGTTTTTTTTTTTTTTATGATATGCTTTAAAAAAAAAAAGATTTTAATTGGCTGGCAGAAAAGCAGCCTGTTGGCCCTTTTCATATTGTAGCCACAAATGGGCTACGAATAAGATTGTAAGAATAATGTTAATGATGTTTTTAAATGTTATTTTTGTATGCACAAGTTGTTAGTTGCTTCATTCGATCACCAGGTCTATTCTACGTTGTTTGACTCGCACAATTCCCATCAGCCAGGTCCATGCAACGCAGGTCCCATTTTTGTCTCTTACCTCTCGTTCAACGCCGCTGCGTTTTATTTTTCTTGGCCTTTAGGTTTAGCCGCCAAGCAGTATGCACACTGTCCTCGATTTCAGAATGAGCCCACCTGTGCCTTTATGAGACAGCCTTCTCCCCCGACACCATCCACTATCGTCTTTTATTTGCTGCTGAAGCTCGTTTCATTTCTTCACCCCCCCCAACCCCCCTTTCTGACCCTCACCTTGTTGTCACCCAAAAAAAACCACACACAATGTTTGTATGTTGCAGAAATCAATCAGTAAAATGAACATTACAACAAGACGGTGACTCCATTTTTGTCCGGATGTGCAACTTGCGGACTTATTTGTGAAGCAGATGTTCATTTTGGGCTGTGCGATTGCATATTGCTGTTGGAATACATGAATAGGTCAAGCCTTGTTGACTTGGACACAGAAATAGAAACGTTAAGTGGCACGCAGTGGCCAAACAAGCCTTCCATTTGTTTTGCTCTTGTAAACTGATAATGTCATAACTTGCTGGAAATGTGTGTGCGTCAGGATCTCTCCAGCACTTTCACACACAGTGAATGCAAAAACTGTATAGTGTAAATTCATTCATTTTCCGAACCGCTTGATCCTCACTAGGGTCGCGGGGGGCACTGGAGCTGCCCTCGGGCAGTAGGCGGGGGACACCCTGAATCGGTTGCCAGCCAATCGCAGGGCACACAGAGACAAACAACCATTCACGCTCACATTCACACCGAGGGACAACTTAGTGTTCAATCAGCCTACCATGCATGTTTTTGGAATGTGGGAGGAAACCGGAGTACCCGGAGAAAACCCACGCAGGCCCGGGGAGAACATGCAAACTCCACACAGGGAGGCCGGAGCTGGAATTGAACCCGGTACCTCTGCACTGTGAAGTCGACGTGCTAACCACTGGACTACCGGGCCGCCCATATAGTGTAAATTATGCAAGGTTATTCTTTTAAGAACCAAGTGACCTCATTTTGCATACAATGCCTAAATGTATGCACTGTGTTATTCCAAGCATTTTTGTCTCCAGTGAACTTTGACTTCATCGCAACCACAGTTTGTGGCTCGCTTTAACACTGTAATCCTCCCACAATGCTCATTTCCTTGTTCCGCCGCCAATCGTCTCGCTTCCCGGCACGTTTGCCTCCTCCTGATATCCTCCTGATCCAGTCCTGAATCCAGTGAATCCAAGTCCAAACAAGGCCCAGACGGTTCACAAGATCCTGTACAACGATGTGTTTTTGGTGTCCTTTTGGGAAGATTGGATCAAAGAGGCAAGTGGATCCGCCTGATGGATGCATTTTCATTCCACAGACAGGTGCTTTCTACCGTCTGTTACCGATTTGTTGCTTTACTGTTGTACTGTACACGTTAGTTGTTCCATGTACAGCACTTTGTATGCAGCGATGGCTGTTTGAAAGTGCTCTATAAATACAGTTGAGTTGAGACAAAACGCACAGCATCGTCCACTCTTCTCAGAGTGTTTGCTTGGACCAGTTTGAGGTGGTGGAGTCGAGCAATTTGGTATTAATAGATATCCGATACCATCATACCGTCAACCTCGGCTAATAGCCGCCCTTATAAATGATTACGATTCCCCTTCCAAAGCAACAAAACCCCGTACGGTTTACTACGCATGCGCACATCATGCTTTTTCAAGCTGATGAAAAAAAAAATACGATTGAGGATTACTTTTGCTGGTTTGCCGTGACAATGGTAGCGCTCGACGACGGCATTGTCGTTGGCTACCAGCAGGTGAGACGATCTGGATTTGAACCAAAATCGTCTTTGTGAGATTGGCTCACAATTGTTTTTTTTCCCCCCGTATAAAAGTTGTAATACGCCGTACACGATTTGAATACGGGGAAAACGTACAAGTTGCAGTATGTGACTTCGACTACATTACTGCAATTGTTTGTGCTAAACATGTTAGCTGGCTCGACGACGCAGCAACTGATCGACGAACGTCGTCTTGGCGAAATGAGTTGATACAAATATCGAACATGATCCGCTTCAAACGGATGTCAGGTAACCTGTTGTTCTTACTCCGGCGAGGTACTCGTTCTCCAATAACGATCTGCGGAGGAAACAGTTTCCCACAGACGCCAGCAAACGCAATGACGCCACCATATTGCTGTCAGACGAAGAACGCGGAAGTATGCGTCATATCCGTTAAAAATCTTTCCCCTTTCCCGCTCAGTTTACGTCACATCCGCTAAACATCTGTCCCCTTCCCCCCCTCCGTTTATGTATGTAATGCATGGCATTTGTGTTCGCCTTTTTTGTTGAATAAGTTCTCAACTAAATACTAAACGCAAATTCTGCTATAGTCAAGACGTCGTTGGAAATGTATGTCAGAAGTGACGTTCCAGTTTCAGGCACAATTGACAGTATTTTTAAAGGGACTTGCAGGAACGACGGCGGAAGTGCTGCTTTAGCATAGCGCCAATTTTCCTCAACTAGGATGTTAAGTTTGGTAACGTTGCCACAATAGTTAAGCGGCTAAGGTAGTCTGGCGCACATCTGAATCGCAAGTGTACGTATCAGTTGTGATCGACCATTTGCAGGTAATTCGTGTGTGTCTATTCTGTGATTGAAACAAACTCCAAGAGTTGTGCTCGTGTTTCTAAAAATCGAAGGTGCCACCGCATGTCGTTCACGGCTCTCGTCTTTGTTGTGGCTTTCAGATATGGACGGCGATCTGGAAGATGGGGAGCTTTCTGGTTCCGAGTCAGAGTCTGAGATGAAAACTGCCACAGTGGCGCCGCCAGCCCGACCTTTGCAATATACAGCATTGAGGATCACACTCTCCACCTGCAACTGCCTGTAGAAACTTCGTTAGGCCGGCGTTTTTTGGACATGACACACAAAAAAAAAAACCAATACCAGAGATGTTGATGAAATGTATACAAGGTGTCAAAATTAATCGAATGATCGTGAATTTAGGAGAACTCCCCCGTTTTCAGCCATCTCAGAATGCAGCCATTTAGGGATTACACTGCCCTCTGCTATCGACTAGACATGACGTCAAAATGCACTAGGGCGCACATTGCGAACGTCACGTGATGAAAATGTTTGACTTGACTTCCACTTTAGGATAAAAGTGTGGTCATGGAACAAACTAATCTCATAACGGTGTAGTTTTAAATTACAGGATTCTGAATCCACTGGGCAGATTAAATTAACCTGGCAACACAGGGGGCTGAAATCTGATTTGATGAAAAATCTAACTTCAACAAATGCACACAGAAAGCAGCGCAGTCAAGAGAAACGTGTGGAAATGAAGGAGTTTTGAATTAATGTATACAATTTCATGGAGAAATTATTCGAATTTAGTTCTTATTAACGACTGAGTATTGCAGAGTACGTCTTGTCATCTGCATCGAAAACCGGTCCCCGGACCTGTCAATCAAATGGAGTTAAGCCCCGCCCCCGCCAGCCTGCACGTCTCGCGCCAGTCGAGCGAGGCGAGTAAATAGCGAGAGAAGCCTCAAGATGGCGGACTCGCCGAGCTCCATCCGCCTCAGCACCGGAGCCGCGGCGGCCGTCACCAAGCCCTCGGAGGCGAAGGGAGCCCCCGAAAATCGCCCGCAGTCTTCCCGGGACTTCAACCCGCCGCCGCCCAAGAAGCTCAGAGTGGAGGAGAGGAGCGTCAAACCAAAGAAAGTCGTCCGGGATGGAGGGCTTCTGGGAGGCAACTGCCGCGGGAAAGAGAAACTCCAGCAGCCGACGAAGCAGCTCGGTCTCGCGGCCGGTTTGTGGAGCCTCAGCCCGGCCAACGCGACCGCCGCTTTGGTCCACACAATCGGCGGAAGCCAAGCAGCCGTCGCCACTGGGCACAAAATCCTGAAGCCGAGTGATTTTTTCCTCCACAAGGCGCCCAAAAGCAAGAAGCCGAGCAAGGATAAACAGCGCGAGAAGGGAGACGTGAAAAATAAACTATTCGTGACGCCCGCTAACTACGACATGAGCACATTCAACCACATTTCTCCAGTGAAGAGACAAAATGGGGATGTCACGTTGACACCAAAAGGTAGGCCACCGTCTCTTTGACACTCACATTCACTCAGCGCAATTCGATTAAGTTAACTGCTATTTGGCAAAGTGGTACATTTGGCCACTTCTCGAACATGTGCCCTCCCCCTGAACGAGAGTGTTCACTAGTCTGCCTTCTAATCCGTCTGGACAGTCCCGTTTCGGACGTTTTTTAACCCGTGAGACTGGCTGAGCTGGAACACAAGGGGGTGTTTACACCACAAAGCCCCCCCACCCCCCGGGCTTAGTCGACGTTTCCGCGGGTCTAATGGCTGCCAGTTCTCGCTTACCCGCCGCTGAACCCTCGAAGTGGTGGTCACGTAGCGAACGTAGTTCCGAAAAAAAAACAAACCAACTTTGCCGTGTGTGGTTTGGTTCAATCCCCGCAGGGGTATTTTACGTCGAATTGTGGGTTGATTGTCGGCGGAGGTTGTGTATGAAATGTACACGCTGCTGTCATTCCACTGTGACAGGCGCCCGCCATTATGGAGCAAGTGTTGTTTTGGTGGAGCACCACGCCCCCCTCCGCTCCATTCATGCGCGTTACTTTGGACACGTTTTATTTCACAACCTTGTCAATTGTAAAGATGCTTCAACAGTAAGTTCAACGAATGTCGTTTAGTCTCACCAATAGTAGAAGCGTGACAAAGCTGCAATTTAGTGGCAAATCCTCTCCCATTTAGTCTCAAAGTCCGACAGGGGGCCATTTGCAGACCACTGCATGCGTATGATTATCCCGCCCTATTTTCAAAATAAACGAATCAAACGCAAGCTACAAATGTTAATAACTTTAATCATATTAAAACTCCCTGATTAAACGTATCTCCTATTGGGTGAAATAGGTAACCAGGTGCTGTATCCAAAAGGGACCGAGCCAATGGTGAGTTATGTACAACCAGTGCAGGGTCTGACATTATTGGTGGCTCGATGGACCAATTTTTTAATTAATCATTTATCATTGCCCCCCCCCCCCCACTGTGCACTGTGAAATATAAAAACTATGAGCAGCCCGATTATCAGCGCCGACCTTCTCCATTTTGTATCGCAACCAGCACACATTCAAATTAACTGCTGCTGTACTTGGTGAAACATCATGACAGGCTAGTCGGGGGCTATGTGAGTGTTGCTGCGCGAATGATGTCAGCCTTTTCCAGTTGGTTACTTGAAGAGGTCGCGCCGTGAACAGCGATGACAGCTGTCCAGAGACCTTATGTGGACGCAAGTGTCACCGCGCGCAAGATCTGTCATTTGCCTTTAATTTTAGCTTTAGCCTAACTTAAACATTTATTGCTCGTCTTTGTTACCTTGACAAAAATGATGGAATGTTGACGGACAAAAAAAAAAAATCACAAATTGATATCTTTCCCCTCGCAAAATTGTGAGCCATACTATGTTGTTTATGTTCATCCTCCGGTGTTCCTTTCGTCTTCCCGTTTGACACGGTGGAATGATGGCAACCTGCTCCACACGCTCTACTATTACTCCGTTCTGCATGTTGACCTAACCCATATCTATTCCCGTGCAAGGCGAGGAGCGTTTTCCTTGCCAAACCTGCTCCTCCTCGAAGAAAACACGCCTTTTTAAGTTGTCAGTCTTGCTGTGAGCGACGGCGCAATAACATCTACCTGCTCATTCATGAGTATGACCTTATGTTGCCTCGGGGCTCAAGTAGTGTAATCGACCCATATTTGCTTCAGCGCGCACACACTCGAAGGTCTTGCATATTATCCTGGCACGTCCGTCACGTTAATCTTGACCACTGAGCTCAATAAGCCTTCCTTTGTAGTCACTTGACAAACCAGCTCAATGGATGTTTTCGAGCGTGTTGCCGGGAAGCTTATGACAGTGTCATTTTGGGGGGGGGGGGGGGTTGCACTTTTGGTATATGTGTTCGCGCAGTTTTGCAAAAGGGCCCACCAAAATGTAAAGTACTTTTTTAGAATGGAAGGAGCGTTATGCCGCAATTAAAAAGAGGTCGTCATTCCACCTCTACTCCTCTTGCTCCTTTAAGCCTTCTTTTCAAGGACCCCCCTACCCCCCACCCCCCTGAAAGCGTTTTTCCACTTTGATGGAGCGAGCGGCGCCCGCAACCCCGCCGTGTTCGCTTTCACACTCCCCACGTCCGCACTCTCAATGAGGAGTCTCGGGCCAAAGAAATACCGCGTCGTCTTTTCTTTTTTGCTAAGAAGCTAGACTCAAGTGAGTTCAAAGCAAAGGATTCTGGTTCAATGCTGCTGGAATAAAATGAGTCGATGTTACAGTTTCCTTAGAAATTGCATCGAGTGCTGATTAACGTCCATAATACATTTTTGTAACCGTGTTCAGATATCATAGGAAACCTGAAGTGCTATGATCTATAACTTCATACATCATAGCGCCCCTGTCTTTAATCTTGTGCGCAAGGGAATGAGACGGCTTGTAACGTGACGAGAAGCGTAAAAAAATGTATTTTGTTTTGTTTTTTGTAGCTTCAGAGCTCCTCAACAAGGACAAGACTAAAGATCGGGAGCGAGGGGAACGTGAGGAGAAGAAGAAGCACAAAGTGATGAATGACATGAAGCGGGAAAATGGCGAGGTCAAGCAGCCCGTGAAAGGTACATCAAGATTCCATTTTTATTTTTGCGTGTGTGTGTAATTTGTTAGCGCCAAAAATACTGAACCAATTGACACAAACGGGGCATTTGAAGGTCTTTCATACATTCGCAGCCAGTGGCTGGACATCAAATTAACTATAGATCATTCTGTCCTTGTGGGGCTCGTTTTGTTTTATCCCCTCCGGAGGAGGAGGACATACGCTAGATGATTCAAAACAAAACAAAACAAATATTAGTGTGCATTAAATTGCCCTGTAGAGGCAGCTCGGTATTTTCCAGTGATATGAGCGTAGGCGAAGCGGATTTGATGTATCTGTGTGCAGGAGCCTGAGCGAGTGTTTATTTTTTCCAAGTCCTCAAATGTTAGGAGCGGAAAGAAGAAATCTGATCAATTTAAGAATACAGCTGAGGCACAGCCCGAGGAAAAAGGCGAAAGGAAATCAATAAGTGGCGAGCGGCCACTTTTGACGACCGTCAAAGCTATTTGTTAGCCTGTTTGTGTGTGGGAACTTGTCTCAAAGCAAAAAACAGATTGCCGCTGTTGAAAGTCATCTTGTGGCTACACTTTAGCACTTGGATTTGGTGACATTTTAGCAGCCGGCACTCTCAAGGTTCATCCTCACCGTCTGTCCCCGTTCGTCCAAAAGGGGCACTCCATGATTCACAGTAGCTCTACATATTCAAAATTTATTTTTTTGTCTTGTGTTTGGCTCACTAGGGCTGAATGATTTTTTTCTCACTATTGTAATTTCAATTTAATATGTGATTACAAAAAAAAAAAAAAAAATTCCGGGTCCTTTTTGTCACAAACACAAGCAATACTTTCATCTCGATTATAATAATCTCTGATTTATTCGACATAAATATTTTTACTTTCATCGGTTAGGTGTACGCCAAAATAAGGTATCATTTGTTTCCCGATATTCTCTTTGGCTCATGTGGGGCTTTATGATACTTTTGGGATGAAAGTGTATCTATTTGCAGAAAGGGGAATTGGGGGAGGGACGGTGTATGTGTGTGTGTCTGTGTGGGCTAAAGAGCATTTGGATTAGTAGCTTGTGTGCAAATACTCGCTCTGTTGCTTCCTTTATTGTTCCCTCACAGACACACAGTATCACAGTCTGCGCTCAGCCCGTCTCATTCCCGCGTTATGTGCCATCAAAGAACGTGCCCGGGGTACAAACGAGACGGCGCGAGATGTAATCCGTCGCTTTAAAATTGTGCTGATGCAGCAACACATCCATCCCGGCTTGCTGTTCATTTACACTACCTGTCCATTTTGGCTGCGCGCTTTCCCACAGATGTGTGTCATCAGCCTCCTATCATGACTCCGAACTCTCCGATTTATTGTACACAAACGTTTTGGTCTTGAACCATGAATTCGTCTGAAAGACAGTTTAGTTTATTGATCGGCTCCAATTAGAGTTCGGCGACATTTTGGTTAGCGGTCTTGTAACCATTCGCTATTACAGGCTTTTTGCGATTTTTAAAAATTGCGCTCTGCTGCATTGCAATGTCAACTTGGATTTGACGTCCATTTTTTTTTTTTTTTATTAAAGTTCTCGTCAACCACAAACATGACAACAGAAGTAACAGTCAATGAAGCTCCACTGGGAGTGACTGACGCGACGGCGCACGGTGCTAGCAAACATTTTTACAGTTGACTGATTTCTTCCCCTCGCAGATGGAGGCGTCCAAGCCAAGATCAACACGGAGCTGCAAATCAAAAAAGTCAAGAAGAAAAAGAAGAAGAAACACAAAGAGGGGGAGAAGCACAAGCGAGTGAAAATGTACCACCGCTCGTGCCAAACCATTTGCGCCGGCCTGGTTCTCCTCCCCTCTCCCCCGCCTCAGCGCGCCAATTCCTCCTCCACCGACCCTGCCCAGGACGCCGCCGTGTCTCCGTTTAAATTGCCGCTGCCCGTTTACCCTTGGCCCAACAACAAAAGCGCCCACCTCCACCCGTCTTATGTGAACTCCTCTCCGCACACGGGCCCGCCACCTTCCCCAAACAAACACTCGTCGCGCTACACCCACCCTGGCCTTTCGGGCCTGGAGTTTGCCCCTTACATCCACATCGAGACTCAGCCAAATGGCGGGGCTCTGGTGGCCCACGCCTACGCCTCGCAGCTGGCCTCGCTCTCCCCGAGCCAGAGGCAGAGGTTCGCCCAGGAGTTTGTCACCCTGGCGTTCAGCGAGGACTCGTCGCAGGTACCAGCAAACTGATCCGCTGTTTGACTAGACAAATAGTTTTAGTATTAGTTTTTTTTTTTGTTTTTTTTTTAAATATATGGCGTATTCGCGTGCAAGATTAAAAAAAAAACGTCACTAAGTATTGTGTCAACTACAATTCTCAAACAAGTGACCTTGGTTCTTCATTAGCTACGCATGTGCAGCCACAGCAAAATAAATATGGCTTCAGTTCGTATAATCTGATTTATTTATTTTTTGATTGTGTCTGTTAAAAAATACATTGGAAGAGGACCTTTAAAAACAAATGGCAATAAATCACAATTGTAATATAAAAGGGGTGGGGGGGGGTGGTGAACACAATAGAATTATTTTTCCAAAACATTTCAGCCCTACTTTAAATATCGAATTCATTTGATCATTCTTGCATCCTAGGCTGCACATTACGTCATGGGCATCGTCCACGGAGAAGTCTCCTACATGCCGGACTTCCTGGATTACTTCTCCACTAAGTTCTCATCGGCGCCGGTCAAAATGGAGATCCTGGGAAAGAAGGACATCGAAACCACCACCATGGCTCATTTCTACTCTCAGGTAAGGTCCTCACGAGGGCGCCATCCATACGGAGTGTGTGGGTGGCTGTGATGCTGACAGTTAAGAGCAGATTTCACACTTGATTTGTTGATATTGTTGATCAAATTGTGTTACAACCCAACAGATGCTCGTGTGTTTCTCATAATAATGACCGAGGTCAGCATTCAGCCATAAAAGACACCCTGCAGTCGAAGCTGCCTTAATTGGCATTTCTTCATGATGTTGTTGTTGTTCAAATTGTGTTACAACCCAACAGATGCTCGCGTGTTTCTCATAATAATGACCGAGGTCAGCATTCAGCCATAAAAGACACCCTGCAGTCGAAGCTGCCTTAATTGGCATTTCTTCACTCGGGCAGACTTGCTAGTTTGCGTTTAAAGTCGCACCGCTTTGAGAGAGAGCGCTTAGTCTCCCATCGCCTCGCTCCACGAGCCCCTTATAGCTGCGCTAATGACCACGCTGACCACCCGCTCAGAGCATCTGCTTCCATCTGTGTCACATTAGACTGCTTTTGCCATTCATGCTAATGTCCCAGCGCTCAAACGTCATGAAAGCCGAAGCGACAATGGAGGCAACTGCTCCTCATCCCCCCCAGCAATATAAAAGGGACTATACTGTCTGTTGTTTGTCAGTGAGCACAGCATGCATGTGTGTGTGATGAGTACGACGAGGCACACAGCAGTTTGTGCTGTGTTTCACTGGCTGTTTGTTTTTTTAATTACTCACGTTGTAGTATTTGCTTCTAGCAGTGTTGCCAATCGGCTCGTTTCTCAAGGTATGGCATCCGGTGGGTTCAGAATAAGTTAAACAGCTGTTAGTGCTGTGGGTTTAAGAGCGGCATCAAGGCCATTTTTCTCGGCAGTGACCTTGGGGGAAGTCGACGCAGTCTGCCCACAGATAGGAGCGTGCACGCTGATGAATACAGCCGGGGCCAGGTGTGCACTCTCGCATGCATCTTCTTGAGCGCTCCCGCGGCGGTATTCTGATTCATATTGCCTTTGTGGAATAGGAAATTGTGTTTCGACTGTGGATTCTCAGCCTTTTCTGTTTCTGTTCTGATTAGCCGGTGCTACAGTAGCCAGTCCTCATGCCTACG